TAGAAATCAAGGAAAACGATTCTTTCTTGCCAAATCATTTTCTCTAAGCTTATTAGCCCATGTTAAACGTTTTCCATCGATCGAATAGTTTTACGTAATTCAAACACCGGAAAGTATGGAAAAAAATTTCCGAAAAATGATTTCTCATCAAATAAACTGACCCTAAGTTAAATAAAGGAGGAAGAATGGGAGGGACAGTTCCATCTGTTTTCTTTCTTTTTTTGGGAAAGTTATTACCCTTCGGGATAAAATTGTACAAGTGTTTGCAAGCTCACGTCGTTGATAGAAGTCAGATTTGAATGACGGTAGACCATATAATTGGTTCCAATGAAGAGATCCAAAGTGAACAATCATATCCCTTCATATTCTTTCTTGTCCCGGAAAGGAGAGAACAAAAGTTAAGTGCTAAAAAGAAGTTGGACGAATGTTAAAGCCACCTTTTGATAAAATGATTTTTCTTTCTTTTGGCCGGCAGCATTTGATGAATGACTCCATAACACAAATTCAATGATTTATGGGGATTTTCAATGATAATCTGTAAAATAACATGAGTTCACCGTTTCGCATAACAGGTTTTACTTAATGGTGTCTTAATTACAGTTGCTATCAATATGTGGTCTTTTTTTTTTCATCAATGTTGTTAAAAAAGATGTGTGCTTTTACTCTATAAGCACGGGCTTTTCTTCATTTGAAGTTTAACAAAATAAATCCGGGCTATTTACAAGTAATGTTAATAAGTATACTAAAATTAATTTATTAAGTGATATTGATCAAATCGTCTTAGCAAGTGAATGAATGGATTCGTGAAAATAGATACTATACAAGTTTGAAAATACAAACGGTTCTCATTTTCTTTTATAAAAAAGTCATTTTTGGAAAAACTGAATTTTCCAGATCTAGAGAATCTTGAGCTTTCCAAATTGCTATTAAAAATGTCCTTAACTTTCTACTTTATCATGGAGAACATAAATTTTCAGTTTTGTATTAAGTTTACATGGAATCTTAATTTTCTTTGAAAAAGGTCCTGACCTTTCGATTTTATATTGCACCAAGATGTCTATATCGCAGATTTGACAAATAAGTTTAGTAGATAATTTCAGAGTTTCTACCTTGGCCCCTTGTCTAACGTATGCCATCACAGCACTTGTCTTTTATTTCTTGGTTTTATTTCTTGGCCCGATCAGCCCATCAAACTAGACCGACCGAAGTTCACCTTGATTAGGTTGGGGGGAAACGAACTTGGTTGGAAGTTTGATGTCTGCTTTTGTTGACTTCGACTTTGAATGAATCTTTCCGTTTATTTGTTTGGGGGGCAAAAGTTGACTCTAATCCCCAAAATTTCTGCACCACATGTCCAGTGATTTTGCCGCGTTAAGGAACGCAAATAATTGTCAAACTTTGACAGGCTGGGAGTGATGCTTCGAGGAAGCATCCTTATTGACCAATTTTGCAGCAAAACTGGCCCACGGCTCTTTGCATATTCATCCAATCCTTTGGCTTCTCCAAGTTCAATGACCTACCGAAAAGTCAATCAAAAAAATCTTCCTCTTATTAGTTCCTTAATGTTCTGTGGTGGCTGACCAAAAAAAAAAATGTTCTGTGGTAAAGAAGGAACAAAGTGTCTTGATACTTAAGGCCCCCATGCATCTATACGAAAAGTGTTTCTTTTCCTTTATAAAGAGAAGGAGTTAGGCAGTGGATCCCACCTATTTTATCTTTTTCCCCGGGCTTTTGAGCTAACGGTGGAAGCTCAATTTCAATTCAAATGGAAGGAGTCTGATTTAAAAAATCTGCAACGAGACTTTTGGACTTTCGTTCAGTAAAACAAAAGTTCAGCGGAGTATGAGCAAAGCCAAGGCTATCAAAGAACAAATATGATCTTCCATTGGTCTTGATTCAAGAAATTCAATACTTTCCAAGAGTCCTTTTTTTTTACTTATCGAGTCATCGTGATTAATAGCTTCAGTCTTAAATTTTTTTTGTCACGCTCGGATCTACGTCTGAAAAGACTCAAGAACTTATGAATTCCGGAATGGAAACATTTTTACACCTCCGGATCTAGCGAGATTTTATTTTTCCTCCTTGGCTCCCCCACCATGTGCTTCCTCCATGTTGTCCTTATTAATTATCAATCGGTCCGTTTAATCAACACCTGTAACTATCGAAATCTGAAGTCTTGCTGGTGTTGGTGCATTCACATCGCTCATGCACTCGCCACCAAGTGCGAAAGTGACACTGCAATTATGTACAGGCAAAGACGCAAGCGTGCCTCGAGCAGTGTCATCCCTGCGATCGGCGGGCAAGTCCGTGGGCATCTATCGAGACACGTGTTGTCCGGATTTCCAATGGAAGATAATATTTACAATCTGTGGTCAGTTGAGCGTGAAGTTTGGTTGTCTCCTATGTCTAGAACCTGTACATAGTAGAAGAGCGAAGGCTTACTCGGTCTATTGGCTTAATCGACTTATCAACTTATCCCACGATTAGCTTTAAAGTTTGTGGAGGGATAAAATCTAGATTGCAATGTTTGGAAAGGGGGCCTTTTAAAATGCCAGGACCAGATGACTTTTAAGCAGTATTTTATCGACATCAGTGGATGACTGTGAGCTATTCTGTCGTTCTTGAAATTGAGAAACTCTGGCTTGGTGCTGGGAATTCAGAAAGTATCAACCAAACTCTTATCACCTTGATTTTCAAAGTTGACTTTCCTGAACGGTTGGAGCATGTCGGTCTATTAGCCTCTGTAATATTTCCTTCGGTGTTGTCATTGAGATTATCATGATTTGATTGCAGAAATTTAAGCTAAACTTGACTTCAACCAAGTAAGTTTCGTTTCGAGTCATCACATCCAATATAATATCATCATTGCTAAGGAAATCATTCATTAACCGCGGAAAATGAAGGGGAAGGAAGGCTACATGCTAGTCAAGGTGGACTTGGGCAAGGCAAGGCGTTTAATAGGTTAAGGTGTGAATTCACGTGGCTGGACTTCTTGGTTCATTGGTGGATCCCGTCAAGCGATTTATTGCGATTAACAATATGCAGCTTTTTAGGAATGGGGAACTAAGAAAAGCTCCAGGGGGTGTATAACAAGGGGATCTGCTTTTGCCTTCAATCTTTGTCCTTTGTATAGGGCGACTTTCTCACTAAATCATGAATTTCGTTGAGAAGAGTATTTGGAAGCCTTTCCGAATTACATTTTCCATCCCTTCATGTCATTTGTCCACAATTGCCACCTACATACTCAACCGACTTCCCATTAAAAAGAAAAATTAGGTCCCCGCCATGAGGGCATTGGAATAATTTGGCAGCAGCAAAATAGACATCCAATTGATAATCAACAACTCGTATGACCTCCGACCAAAAAAAAAAAAAGCAACTCAAAGACCGGGGGCAGTTTTCCCCAAAATAGGCCCCAACTCGACACCCCCAACCCCGAAGGTGACACTACAATCATGTACAAGCAAAGACGCGGTGCGGGCAGGTGTGTGGGCAATTATCGCGAGGCGGTGTTGTCCGAAAATCCAATGGATGATATATTTACAGTGCGAAGAAACTTCACAAAGACAGGATTATTAAAATTCAAAAAAATAATGACCGAAAGCGCTCGATTGCTCCCATCTTTTTAATATTTTATTTTAGTCACCGAAAGCACTCGATTGCCCCCATCTTTTTAGAATCCCGCTAGTTTATTTACCCCGCAATTGTTTTTTTTGTAAATTTTAATCTGGGAGTTTGTTAGGAGCATTTGATCTGTGGTGGTTCAATATATTGCTGCAGTTATTTTCGTACGACAATGATGTGGAGAATACCGAATCTCGGCGCGCATTGCAACCCGTAGTTTTCGGAGGGGAAGATCTTGGCGTGTGCCCATCATCGATAATTCTGGTGATCGGTCGCTGATTATTTTTTGATATTGTGACAGATCTCATCTTTTGAGATGAGAGCGTGCTTATAACTACAATCTGTATTTTTTTGTTTTCTGAGTTTTATTTTATTTTAGCCACCGAAAGCGCTCGATTGCTCCCATCTTTAGAATTCCACTAGTTTATTTACCCCGCAGTTGTTTTTTTTCTTTCTTCAGTTGCGTTATGACGGACGGTGGACATAAAATAGAAAAATTGAGGTGGGAGGCAATTCGAGTAGCAGAAGGCTTGATGGAATTAAGGAAGAGGCACGTGACTGCTTGACTAAAGCAGTTAGATGAAGGGCGGTGGATGGGATAAGAAAGTAGGCAGTCGGCCAAGCATGGCCAGCCAAAGAAGCTCCCTAAGGTGGTGTCCCTGGTTGCAGTGTGCTAAACGAGATTTTGAGACTGAGCACGAACCTCCGGCTTCGGACGTGAGTGACTTCTCGGTGCTCCGATTAGCTCAATACGATTAACGAAGATGCTATATTGGGCAAGTCCGGGGTTCCCTTATTCATTCATCGTCGTCGACAAAACCTGGTAACGGATTTTCTTCTTCCATTTTAGCAACTCCGGCAGTATGGACCCGCTTAGCAAAGGTCTACTTGTCGATCTGCATCGGCCTCTTGGACTCCGGGAAGGCAAGCAGCATCCCTTTCTCGATGAAGTTCTGCACGATTTGGTTAGTTTAAAAGTCAGCCTGAACTTACTTTAAAGTAAAGTCTTTGCTCAGCCCGAACATTCCTACCTTGCCTCGAGCGCTAGGGAATTTTCCAAAGGATGGGTGGGATGAGGCCGGCATCAAGGCTTTTTTGGCAATCAATGTATAGACCAGTAATTTCGTAGTATAGTAAGTCAAGATCCGACACAACATCACTGTCAAGGGCATTCTTCTGAGGAAAAAAGAAAAGAGTTGGGCAAACAGAGGTTCATTTTTTTCTTAGATGCTGTGTGCAGCTGCCTTCCAACTATCGGAAATCCGCTCCAGTACGGAGCTGTATTTGTCAACTTTGACGGGCTGCAATGAATCATTCTTATTGACCAATTCTAGCAAACTGGCCCCCGACTTTCTGCATATCTACTCTATACCTACAGCGATCTCCATCTGTGGTTCTGGCCTCTAAACTTTTTCCATCTCTAACTGCCACTGGTTTTGCTGCTATACTTTTCAATTTTTTTCTTGAAGAGAAGATCAAGTGAGATCAAATGGAGGGGAGTGCCAAAAAAAGACGCATCTGTGAAAATGATGGAACAGCAGGAGGCGCTTCTTCTACTCACACTTCAACAGAAGGTCAAGGAATGGATACTTCGTCAGGATATGACTATGAAGTATTCTTGAGCTTTAGAGGACCAGATACTCGAGCAGGTTTTACCGACTTCCTTTACACTAGTCTTAAAGATGCAGGAATCCGTGCGTTTAAGGATGACGAAGATCTCCGCAAGGGGGAAGAGTTTGCCCCAGAACTTCTCCAAGCAATTAATCAGTCGAAGATCTCAATACCTATCTTTTCGAAAGGTTATGCCTCTAGTGTATGGTGTCTCAAGGAGGTAGTCCAGATGGTCCAATGCCAGAAAAAGAGTGGACAAAAGATCATGCCCATTTTCTATGATGTGGCACCTTCAGAGGTTCGATACCAAACAGAGGGTTATGCAAAGGCCTTTCTTGCACATGAAAACAAGAAGCGACACGACGAAAAGACTATGCAAGAGTGGAAGGATGCTCTCAGTGCAGTTGGGGCAATAAACGGATGGGACCTGCATAGCGAGAAGAACAGGTGACTGCTTTTAGCATTCCATCTGATGTTCATTGTATCATTAAAACTGGAAGCATGTCAATCGGTTTCTTTTTCAGAGTTGTGTTAGTCTTGTTAAAATTGAATTTTATGATACTGAAGTTATCCCGCAGAAATCACATCAACTAATGGCACAATCCCAATTTTGTCCTATTTCAATCCAAACGACATTTTTTTCAGTTCAGCTTCTTCATTAACCGTCTGTACCAACGCTAATTCATCTACAATGGAATAAATCGTTGAAGAATACATTTCAAATAGGTCTATAGTTTTCAATTTGGTCTCGTCAGAAAATAGTTTGTTCAACACAGTTTTCTAACTCATTGCCTTTTGACCTCCAACAAACACTAGGCGAGAAGGCGAGTTTGCAAAAAAACTCACCAAGGAGGTTTTCAAAGAATTGAAAAAGGCTTATTTGGTGGTATCAGATTGCTTGGTCAGTGTTGACAACCATGTGGATGCAATCATGGAAATGATTGGTGCTGAGACAAGTGAAACACGGATTATAGGAATCCATGGAATGGGTGGCATCGGAAAGACGACTATTGCCAAAATCATCTACAATCAGCTTTCAAAAAATTTTGAGGGTTGTTGCTTCCTTTCTAACGTCCGTGAAACGTCAAAACTCGAGGGCATTCACCGCTTGCAACATCAGCTCATCTTTGACATCCTCAACACGAAATGGGCAGATATAAGAAATATTGATGAAGGGATTAAGACCATTAAAGACAGGTTGTCTAATAAAAGAGTCCTCCTTCTTCTCGATGATGTGGAAGAAAAGGATCATATGAATGCACTTGTAGGAAAACGTGATTGGTTTGGTAGAGGGAGCAAACTCATTATTACTACAAGAAAGAAGGATGTTCTCATTGTTCCGGAAGTGGACTGCACTTATGAGGTCAATGGCATGGATGACTATCAATCTCTTGAGCTCTTTAGCAAACATGCTTTCAGAAGAGACTCTCCTTTGATTGAGTATATTGACCAATCCAAGAGGGCAATAGACATTGCTAGAGGTCTTCCGCTAGCTCTTGAGGTCATAGGTTCACTTTTATCTCGCACTGAAAAGAAAAGGTGGGATGACATATTGGAGAAGTTGGAAAATATTCCTCCCTTGGAAGTTCAGAGTAAGCTAAAAATAAGTTTTGATGCGTTAGAAGTTCAACAACAGCATATGTTCCTCGATATAGCTTGCCTTTTCATTGGATATGACAAAGACATTGTGGTTTATTTTTGGGAAAAATCTAAATTTTTTCCGAAAGAAACTATAGAAGTTTTGCAGAACATGTCTTTGATAAAGATTGTAGAGTATAATAAAGTGTGGATGCATGACCAACTCAGAGACCTCGGAAGAGAAATAGTTCGTCAAGAAAGTAAGATGAAAATAGAGAAGCAACGGAGGGTGTGGGATCCCAAGGAAGCATTGGATTTGCTGAGGAGACATGAGGTAAAATCCCCCGTGCGATAAATCTCCATGTTACTTGTGGACATTTTCGTTTAAAAAAATCGAGTTACTTTTTTGTGTTCTCTAGCACTATTGTGACCAACTCAAACCAATATTTTTGCTCTGTCGAGATTAAAGGAACGATAGTACTCCAACTCAACCCCTTAAAATAGTGAACTTGAATAAATGTGTTTCGCTTCAACTCTTTTATTTTTAAAATTTTCCATTGGGCAGGGAAAAACAAAAGTTGAAGCTCTTCGTCTCCGCTTTGACCGTGAGCGGCGATACTATTTTACTTGTGAGGACTTTAAGAGAATATCAAATTTGCGGTTTCTTCAAGTTAACGGTCCGAAGGAATATTTTCGCGCAGAAGAGAGGCTTCTTTGGCACGAATTGCCATCAAATGTTCTTCCAACTAATGTTTTTCAGGAGAATTTAGATCTCCTTCCACATTTACGTTGGCTTTCTTGGCACGGTATTCCCCCAACATTTAAGATTGCAAATTTCTCTATGGAGAATGTGGTTGTTCTTGATCTATCCTGGAGTAAGATTACGCATGATTGGCAGGGGTGGAGCCATATGGAGGTATGTTATATGCTAGACAACACTTATCATTCCATCTTATGAGATTCAAAAGTAATCTTTGCATGGTTTTTTTTTTATAGGTGATGAAGAATTTGAAAATTTTGAAATTGACCGGATGCAATTGCTTGGAGAGAACTCCCATCTTCTCTGCTGAGGTAAATTTAGAACGATTGATCCTAGCGAGCTGTGAATCATTAACTGAAATTGATAGGTCGATTTGTCATTTGAAAAGCCTAGTTTCCTTAGATTTAAGTCATTGTTCCTATCTTCGGAGGCTACCAGACGAGCTGGGTAGAGATCTTGCGAGCCTTGAATACCTATCTCTAGTATGTTGCACATCGTTCAAGAGGCTTCCGGATACAATTGGAAACTTGGAATCGCTGATTGAGTTGGATATATCCCAAATGAGGATTAAAGAACTACCCGATTCCGTCAGAAAGTTGAAAAATTTGAAATTAGTAAGGATGTTTTGGACTGCAATGAGCAAAATACCTAATGCCCTTTGGATGATTGAGAAGCTCGAAAAAATAGATGCTGAATTTAGTGGTTTGAAAGTGGAAGTGGAAATTGGCAATTGCATCTACAGAAATCAATCCCTAAGGATCTTGAGATTGGTGAATGTTAGAATAAACGTAGTACCGAGGCTTCCTGAAAGTCTTATCCATCTATGGTTGTGTGCATTGCACATGGATACGTTTCCAGATCTCTCAAACCTGACTAATTTAGAGAAATTGTCACTGACCTTTGGCCCACGCGATGACGCTGGGGAATCTAATGGGCCTGTGGAAGAATATCTGATGCCACGGTGGATTGGGAATTTAAGCAAACTGCAGACTCTGTTCCTAAACTCTTGTCATTTTGTGACCCACTTACCCATGGATTTTAGTAGTCTCCTTCCTCGACTCCAATACCTTACACTCCGATGCCCTAATCTGCGTTGCCTCCCGAGCCTTCCCTCCAGTTTATTATCCTTGGATTTGCACTCTGAACACATGACCGCCTTACCCACAGATATTAGTAGTCTCCTTCCCCGACTCCAAACACTTGCACTCGAATGCCGTAATCTGCGTTGCCTCCCAAGCCTTCCCTCCAGTTTGTTATCCTTGGGTTTGGGCTTTCAACACATGACCGCCTTACCCACAGATATTAGTAGTCTCCTTCCCCGACTCCAACTACTTCAACTCCTATGGCCTAATCTGCGTTGCCTCCCGAGCCTTCCCTCCAGTTTATCAACCTTATATTTGCACTCTGAACACATGACCGCCTTACCCACAAATATTAGTAGTCTCCTTCCCCGACTCCGAGAACTTCTACTCTACTGCCGTAATCTGCGTTGCCTCCCGAGCCTTCCCTCCAGTTTATCAAACTTATATTTGCACTCTGAACACATGACCGCCTTACCCACATATATTAGTAGTCTCCTTCCCCGACTCCAAATACTTGAACTCCGATGCCCTAATCTGCGTTGCCTCCCGAGCCTTCCCTCCAGTTTAATATCCTTAAGTTTGGTACATTGCAAGTCATTTGGTTCCCTGGGGGATCTATCGAATTTGAAGAACCTATCACATCTTATGATTGCTCACTCTGTAATCTCAGAGATGCGAGGCCTTGATGGTTCGGAGAACCTAGATTTGCAGCTTTCGGAACTTCAACAGGTGTGGATATTACCTAATCTAAGTAATCTCAACCAACTATGGCGTCTTTTTGTGTACTATTGCGATAATCTGGTTGAGATTCAAGGCAAACTACCACAATGTTTAAAATCATTGAGTATTCATGACTGTGGATCTTTACAGAAATTGCCATATCTATCAAGCTTGAAGGGACTGCAAAGGGTTGAAATAAGGCGGTGCAGGAAATTAAATGTGGAGGAAATTTCTTGTTTTGTTCGGAGATGGCAGTCAAATTTGTGGGTGACAAGACGAATAATAAGGAGAAGATGACGAATCTGGATACGAATTTGAATATGGATATGAGGGAGAAGACAGACGGATAAATGCACGTTGCTCTTGAAAGCTTCTTGATCGCCGACCACAAATTGTTCCCTTGCGTGTAAACTTTAAACGAATTGAGGTAATTTATTTCATCTGACAACCAATGTTTTCCCTTTTCTGCAATCAAACTCTTTCACGGATATAAACAGAAAAGTTTCACATGCACTTTTTAATTACCTTTTCACGAGTTGATGACTAAAAATCTGATGAAGGTATTGGAATTATGACACCTCCGGACAACCAGAGGGTTCTTAATTATGTACAGACATTCATTCTCTTCTACTAGTTTGGTTTGGCTTTTTTCGCCAAATTCTCTTTTGATGGTTTCTCCTTGGTTTTATGTTTCCCAATTGGAGGTATGCATTTCTATTGCATCGTTTTTATTTGGTTTGGTTTGTAACAAATTATTAGATATCCTTGTCGATTTGTTGCTTCACTTATTTCAAAGTTTATAACCTTGCTTCGCATTGGAGATGACTTCCTTGTACTGTAAACAAGTAGATGGAATGTGTGTCAGAAGGTCATATAATAACTATGGTTCTCATCCTGGAACTTTACTGCATAATCAACTCATTGTTGCAACTGTGAAGAAGACAGACACCCTGTATTGATATGCTTATGTTCAGTCTATTTTTCTGGAAAGATGTGCTTCTTAGTGGGATTTGCAAATATTATGGAGAAGTCATAAAATGAAGAAAGAGGAATTTTACTTGGGTAGCGGATCAATAGTTGGTGCGGCAAAACTTCCACCTCCAAGGTATCATAAATCGTCTTATAGTTAAGGCTAAATTTCAGTAATATCGTTACCTACTGCCCAGGACATATGATAAGTCTCACTTGGGGTTAGAAATCATGTAAATGAAACTCTTGTGTGATCTCGATTATTGCCTACATTTTCTAGAAATGGTTATGCCTCAGTGATTATCTATAATAGAAGCCCTTCCATTCACCTCGGTTATACTAAAGGATTCTTTTAGGTTTTAAGATTGACAAGAAGTGCTAAGGGAGAGATCTCAAACTGCCTTGTTGCCGATTTCTAATGTAGCTGAGAGGAATTAAAGTTTGAAAAACTTATAGAAATCTTATTGCGCAGGGTGTTGTGGCTAATTGGGCAGCTGTACAAAGACTGGATAAAGGAAAATGAAAATGACGTCCAAAGTGAAGTTTTACGTTCACTTTATAATTACTTTATGAGTTGATGCCTGGAAATCTGAAGAAGGTATTGAAATTATGATACCTCCGTATAACCAGGGGGTTCTTAATTATATACAATTATATGTTTTCTTTTCCTAGTTTGGTTTCGCTTTTTTTAGCTATATTCTCTGTAAATGGTTTCTCCTTGCTTTTATGTTTCCCAGCTGGAGGTGTGCATGTCGATTGCATCATTATTATTTGATTTATGACAATTCATTAGATATCCTTGTCGATTTGCTGCTTCATATATTTTGAAGTTGATACCTTCACATTGGAGATAACTTTGCTATACTGTAAACAATTAGATGAAATGTGTGTTGGAAGGTCGTAGCACAATGGTTCTCATCCTGGAAAATTACAGCATAATTAACTCATTGTTGCTATTGTGAAGAAGACATTGTATTGATATGCTTATATTCGGTTTATTTTTCAGGAAAGGTGTGCTTCTTAGTGTGATTTGCAAATGTTATGGAGAAGTAATAAAATGCAGAAAGAGGAATTTCACTTGGGTAGCGGCATCAATAGTTGGTGCAGCAAAGCTTCCATCTGTGACAGGAGAGGAGAACTATTGAGCTTCGCCAAGGTATCATAAATCATATTATAGTTAAGGCTAAATTTCAGTATGATCGGTGTATCGGACATATGAGAAGTCTCACTTGGGGTTTGAAATCATGTAAATCGACCCTTGTGTGATCTCCATTGTTGCCTCCATTTTCTTGAAATGGTTATGCCTAGGTGCTTATCTGTAATAGAAGCCCTTCCATTCACCTTAAGTTACACTAGATGACTCTTTTAGGTTTAAAGATTGACAAGAAGTGCTAAGGGAGACATCTCAAACAACCGCCTTTTTGCTGGTTTCTAATGTTGCTGAGGGACTTAAAGTTTAAGAAACTTACAAAAACGAAATTATCCTCGAAAGGAAATTTGACAGAATAAGTAATGTTGATGAAGGGATCAAGACAATTAAAGATATGCTTTTTAATAAAGGAGTTCTCATCGTTTTTTATTATGTTGACCAGAAGAATCATTTGAATGCACTCATGGGTAACATCTGTGATATTCAGGCATTACTGAATTCTTCAATGCTGAATATCAAGCGCTGAAGGAGCTCGAAATTCTTAGTGCTTTTTGTTTGTCATTGAATGTCAGTGCATTTTGTTGATCGAAGGCACTGCCATCCTTAATGTGAGTTGATCGGGTTGAAATACTTCGTAGAAAGGGATGACATGTGTGAGGCCTCTGATTGTTTCAACTTGAAGAGGTTCAAATGATGCAATGTCTGGCATTGCTTAGAAGATTCAGCCATTTCTTGAAAAATTTAGAAGACATGCTCAGCAAAGGAGTTCATTTTCCAATAAGAAGTGCGTGTGGTACTTGAAAGGTCCTACATCCACAGCCAAGTCTGTTGTTAAGGAAGATTTGAAACTTAAACAAATTTCTTATTGTCCTCTGTCATTCCAAGAGATATTTATTGTAGTCTTTCCTGGGATCGTTATCTATTATACATAAATTACAATCACACTTTGGCAAGTTGACTTGAAATCTATTGTTGTAGGCATAGTTATTACTAGCTGTTTTTGCAACCGTTTTCTACCTTTAAGATGGACGCTGTAAACTGCTCATGAATGGGACCATGGTTTTTTTGGATCTATTTCATGAGTTTGATTTGGTTTAGATATATTACTTTTTGACGGTTTTGGTTGGCTAATTGAGTTACCAGTAAAAGACAAGTCAAATTGATGCTAGTGTTACTGCATTCAAGTGCACTACTTTTTGTCAATTTACACGTGGGTCATTTATGTGAGATCCTTGGAACTTGCTGGTTTGTACTTTAAATTTGAACCTCATAACCATGCCTTGTAAAACTTAACTTTGCTATACCTTAAACAATGAAGGATATAGTCAATCGTGTAGGTTTTAATCCGTGATAAAAGCTCTTTCATTCACTTTTCGGGTACCTAGGTATGGAGCTTTAGGTTTCACATTGGTAAGGAGAATCGCCAAATGACAAAAGAGACCTATATGGCAGCCTGAGCTCTTCTCTTGGTAATAAGTAAGAAAACTTACGGGTTCTTACTGTAAAGGTAAGCTGGGGCTAGCGCAGGTAACTCGTAGATTTGACGACAGTGTATCTTTCCCAACGTTTTAGTGCTGTACTTTGGCTTTTACAGTATTGTACGAACTACAGCTTATCACATAGTGTCAAGGACTTAAATGGTCTCTTGCTCAATGTGCTTTGAATGGTCACAATAAGCACTTTATGCTTCGAAATGATGAAGGAATTTCAATTTTCCGGTTTCCGCTAATGTTAATTCCGGAATATCAGAAATAGAAGGTAAATGCTTACAGCTTTCGTTCGTTCCAAAGGCCGATCAAATCACTCTTACATGTCTAAACCAAGATGATATAAATTGCTTACCTCCTAAAAGTTGAAATTCAACAAAGGTTGCCAATTGAAATGACGCAAACTTCAGATAAGATCATTTTTTTCCAAGGTTGCTTGATTTAATTGTCCTGCCAGGGAACAGTCGAAGTACTTGGTTGTGCCGAGAAATCTTTTATGTGCCAGTAAGCCAGTAGTAGAAGGTAAGGTCACTGATTGAAAAGTATTCTCCCTAGACAGTCTTTGTTTCACCTTATAAAACTGGTTAATCTCCAAACCATGCAAGTCTAACAGTTTCAAAATTCACAAGCTTTTGCCAATTTTGTGAAGTTCAACACGAGTTCAACCCCCAAAAAAAGAAAAAAAAAGAAAGGAAATAAAAAAGCGGCGTGATTCAGCTATGGATAGCTCAGCTCAGCATCCACACGTCCTTATTAGGTTTTATCGAGTCTGGTAAAAAATGCCACAGGCCCAAGATTAGATTGACAGGTAAAATTGCGAGCGCATTCATTCAATAGGTATCACAGAATTGTATTTACAAGGATGATACATTCAACTTCATGCTATTTACATTCCACGTGAATTTCGGTAGAGATCCTATGCATCTTGTGATGGACATGGAAACAGATTGATGAAATGCATTACGTGAACAAACTTCATCCAGAGCTACCTAATGATCTTCACGAAATTAGGTGCTGACTTAGGAGCATTTTACGTTAAGTTACTCTTGGCATCGGAGTCTCAACGCAGCCTCAATGCAGAAGAAGAAGGATTCCTGGAAAGCATAAGGTTTCCTTAGTCTTCGCTTCCGTGTCACTCCCCAATTCCCAACGGGCACGCGACATCCACCACTGGTCGATTTATGCGACATCCCAAGAATGTCGCCGACCTCAAATCGCCATCAGAGATTTACAACCAGAGCGGATACTAACAATTAATCCCTAACAAATACAACTGGGGAGAATAGGGAGAATATACATATATTCGATTCCATTCGGAGACTTATAAAATATTCACAATTACAACCTTCATTTACAAAAGCACACCTTACTATCCACCTCCGATAACAAAAAGGACTAGATGACCTGGTATCCTAACTTCCAAAAATGGTACGCCTCAAAAGCTCTGATTAGACCCCTGCACTAACCCCTACAGCCCTTACTCGGCGTCCACTCTGACTCACTGTCCTCGGCATCACCACCTGAATCCTCCTCAGCTGTCTGATCACCCGATGGTTCCGAGTCGGCCTCAATATGTTCATGGTTCAGGCGGGGGCTCTGAAATGTTTGGTTGAAATAACCGTGAGAACACTTCGCAGTAAGTTCACCTCTAAACTCCACCTAGGCTATCACGTACCTCCAGACAATCACCCAAACACAACTTTCGCACACATGCCATTATCACATAGCAGGCACATCAACACAATTGCAAGCATGCACAATTTTTATGTCATGCACTCATTCCGTTCTCATCATGTCTCATCCACATTCCTCGCCAGTGACCCGCGTACACGTACACGCCTCAGGTACACTGCGACCTCTTTCCACAACACTTTCAGGCCCGCGTAAACGTACACGCCTCAGGCCATGTTTCTTGCCCGCGTAAACGTACACGCCTCAGGCTCAACATCTACCACCTACTGCGCAACCCGCGTAGAAGTTCACGCCTCAGGCTGGCAGTCTTCCGGTATTACCAGGCATCGTCCCGCGTAAACGTACACGCCTCAGGACGGCACAATTTTCCACAATCACACGTCATGCCACATTTCTTTCTCACACAGGCACATGCTCAACATGTATTTACCAAACACAACTGGCCAATCACACGTGGCCCGCGCACGTATCAATTACACACAACCCATGCTCACTCAGCATTTGACATGACCAATAATAATAATTAAAATAATCTAGCCCACACGTGCACCCAACAAACATAATTAACTCAACCAATTGCACAATCACACATTTAATTTCACCACCACGATCTAATTATTTCCAAACGCACATAAAATACAGAAATCATTATTTTTCTCCCACCAAACGATGTCAAATCGATTCCGGTCCTTCACGGGACTTTTTCACCATAAATTCTCGGTTCTAAAAATCCAAGTTGCGTCCCAATCGGCCCATCACGGCCCCATGAACAGTAAATCACAGCCACTGTTATTCTCTAATTTCCAATAAAAATTGCCCGAATTAAATCCTAAGGCCCGCCACAAAATTTCCACTCCCAATTCATGCCATTCCGCACCTAACTTTATACAGATTTCGCCCAAAAATCGCCCGTCGATACCCGAAGTCCTAAGTTGGGTTTAGAGCGCGACTTACCCGCGTTCTAGACTATCGCGGCTAGAACGGAAAGCGGCGGCACTTAATCGGGAACGGCGGCGACGACGTACAGCTCCCGGCGGGCGGCGATCGGCTTGGGTGGCGACGGCGCGGCTTGGGCGGTGGCCGATGGGGCTCACGGCCAAAGGAGGACCGAAAGGGAGAGAGAAAGAACGGCGGGATGGGGGTGGCGTGAGGGGTGCGAGACGGCGGGGCGGTGGCGCGGTGAGGCACGGCGGCGATCCAAGCGGCGGCGCGGCGATGATCGGCAAAGAGAGAGAGGGAGAGAGTGAATGTGTCCACGGTGGGGGCTTCACGGCAAAAAGGGGGAAATTTCACGATGGGGAAGGAGGAAGAAGAGAGAGAGGAGAGAGAGAAAGGGGGTCAAGGCTAATTATCCAATTTTGACCATTTTTTTGGTAATTTACCAAAATACCCCTATCTAATCTTTTTAATCTGACGGCCGAGATTCGATCCAATCTAAAAATCAATGGTTAGAATTGAATATTACTTAAAAATATCCAAGGGTAATTATGCCTTTTCCAACTTTGGGCCTAAGATGACCAAAATGCCCTTGTCCAACAAAACTAATCCTTTATTAACTCTTAGGGGCATTTTGGTCACTTTCTCCGTTTCTCGTCGAAATCGAGTTTTTCTGAAGGATTCGGGCGCAACAAAAATTGCACGTTACAACCGCAACGTCGTCCTAACGTCCCGTTGTGACTTCCAAATTTTCCGGTGTCCGATTTAGGCTAAATTAAATAATTAAATTCTATTAAACGTAACTCGAGCGTTTCTCAAACTAACGGGTGTCTTGTTGGGGAAATTCGCATATTCGACTCGTGACTGATAATATATCGAGTCACGTGCAAGTCCGTTCGGTTCGTAACAATTTCGGTTGTCATTAAAATCGCGAGGATCAATCGCTAGATCCGTGGGGTAGGATCGTTCGATATAGGTTCAGGATAATTCATCAAATCATTTCGTGGTCCGACGGAATCACCCGCAATCCACTACTATGACAGTGGCGAACTGATCCTTGGCTACCCTTAGATCGGCCAACAGTGGCTCAAAATATCACCTCGGCGATTTCATGAGCGAAATTAAATTCACGATCGAATTTTCTAACAGTTGTACGAATTTAATTCCCTAATCAGCCTTTCCCCAATGGTTAGTATCCCAGGAATGATCAGTTCTGGGCGAGAACTAACTGCGAGTACATTCATAAAACTCAGTATTTTATAAATCTCAAATGGACTATTTTTCAGGATGTCACATTCCGTATTCCTTCAATCGTGGGTCCATGACGATTTTGCACGATTCCCAGGTCTCCGCCATTAATTCTACACCATAGTAGAGTAAATGGTCCGCAAGGCTGTTACCAGTTACCAATCCGCAGAAACAAACTCTGATAAGTCATCCGTAAATATTTCCGGTAATAAAGGACTGGCATTCTCTAGAATAAGCTGATTTGTCACATGACCTATTACACCTAGCATGATAAATCCACAAAATAATTGCTTGTAACAGGTACCTACGACTGAAACTACCTCCTTACCTGCTGCAAATTGGATCTTCTCCAGAGCCATCACAAACTTTCTCGACCTAATAAACCAGACTACCAAATCCTATATTATACAGCCATACCTACAAAAAAAGAAGGATTCCAATTACATGCGAACACTCACATAAAAAAGAGTAAGATTATCACCAGACAAGCAGGTGGAATCAAATTATTTTCACATTATCTCACATCAATATGTTTATCCGTGACTGTCATTGAGCTAGTTGCCAATATTATAGGCATTAGTAGACATGCATAATTTAAATGATTAATACCTTATAATTGCACAGAGCTTAAGACTAGGTCATCAGCCATCATAGAGAGAGAGAGAGTGAGTAATACACATTATTACGCGTCTTAAATTTGGAATTGGTACGAGAAACTCATGCTAGCTTTATAGGAATGAGATGACTTCCTTAAATATTGTTAGAAAGGTCATGAGTACTGCAAACTGCCCTGCTTTGTTAAGAAGATAAAACAAACAAAACAGTTAAAATTTATACGCTGAAAAAAATGAGAGTACGAACATTGTTGGAAAATATAAGACTTCTCCGGTTAGACAGGTTGAAATAAATGCAAAGCAAATGTCAAACACAGTCAGCGACAATTCCCCATAATTTATCTGATATTCTG